AATGACCTGATGTTACATGTGTAACTCAAAATCTGAAAGAGTGTTGGATTCAGATGGCTCACTCTGTTAGAGCATTGTCTACATCCACAATGTAATTTACTATTTGTCTGCTCTTTAAATGTTGATGTTAAAGTAACACACCACCATTTGGGCAAATATGTTCATTTTCCACTTCTCCTTGAGTTAACCCCCCCACTGTCCTAATGGGTGTGACCCCCGCGAGGAAAGTTGACCATTGAGCAGGGTTGATGGTTCATCCCTTGGGTCTACGTGGACCTCAAGGGATAAACCATCAACCCTGCTCAATGATCAACTTTCCTCGCGGGGTCACCCATAATGACAGTGGGAGGAACAGTTGAGTTTTACCTTTTCTCTGTTCGTCCAGCCGTTCTGAGTCTGGCAACTCTCATTTGTGGCTTTAGTTTAGCGTGAATAATTGAATCGGATTAGCCCATTAGCATCTAATGCTAATAGGCTAATCCGATTCAATACTCAACTGGTTTTATGCCAAATGGCATAAAGTACTCACTGTCTTACTTGATTGTGGTTAGTGTAATTCATATTTTGTTAATGTTGAATTGATGTGCATCCTGGTGTTGCTTTAAACCACCTACTCAAAGAAAGACTACACACTGCTGTTGTCCAGTTTTCAAAAGTGTGCGTTTGTAATTGTTTCTTTCAAATTTTGTTTTATTTTCTGTTTGAGTTGGCTTAATCAGTAACTTTAATTTGATCATAATTTGAAAATATATTTAATATAAACTCCAAATATTTAAGTTTATTTATGGTCTGATATACTCAAATATCTGAGTTTATAAACTCAGAAAATATGAGGCAACTGATTGCCTTACATTTTTTGAGTTCTGCCTACTTATTCGGGTTTACAGTGTACGAACTGTAAAGATTTTGTGGTGTCAGAGTTCACCTAACAGTTCAAGTGTTCATTTTTTGCTTTGTGTGTTCACAGGGCATGCTCAGTTGAAGTTTCCATCTCTGCGCGTTCAAGATGTAAGAAAAATAATACGAAAGAAATGCAACAATGAAAACTTCAAAAAGGCATCAACAACCAAGCAAGTGGATCCATAAAATGGACTGATTTTTTTAAAGGCATTTTTAAAAAGTCTTTCAAAATGGACAGAATTAATGCGTCATGTTCAGAACAGTTTGCGTTCTCATCTTTGATTAATCCTGGTAAACAGGTCTGTTTTTGTTCTGTTCTAATTCTCTCTGTTTAATAAATTTAAACAACATGACTTAGCTATTTTATTTTTTTTTTTTTTCTCTGCATAAAGACGAAGTATCAGTAAATAGTGGAAATTAAATGTATTGGTAGTAAGCAAATAGCAGATGTTAAATGTTACTTGCAGTATGTGTTTATAGAAAAAATAGAGATACTTAAATGTACTAAAAGAATATTACGTCAAGTTTACTGTAAAGTGTACTTTCAAAACTGTAAGTATACTCAATTATATAAGAAGTACACTACAAGTAAACATATATTATTACTTTAAGTATAATTTGAAGTATACATTCAAAGAGAAAAGTATACTCAATTATTTCAGAAGTACACTACAAGTAAACTTATAATGTTACTTAAAGTTTATTTTTAAGTATACTTTCAAGGGCAAAAGTTTACTCAATTTTATTAGAAGTAAACTTATACTGTTACTTTTAAGTATACTTTCAATGAGAAAAGTATACTCAACTATATCAGGAGTACACTACAAGTAAACTTATATTGTTACTTTTAAGTATACTTCCAAGGAGAAAAGTATACTCGATTATATCAGAAGTACAATACAAGTAAACTTAAAAGTATACTTCCAAGGAGAAAAGTATACTCAATCTATCAGAAGTACACTACAAGTAAACTTATAAGTATACTTTCAAGGAGAAAAGTATACTCAATTTTATCTGAAGTACACTCCAAGTACACTTGCGAGGTTACTTTAAGTATACTTTCAAAGAGAAAAGTACACTCAATTATATCAGAAGTACACTACAAGTAAACTTATAAGTATACTTTCAAGGAGAAAAGTATACTCAACTATATCAGGAGTACACTACAAGTAAACTTATATTGTTACGTTTAAGTACACTTCCAAGGAGAAAAGTATACTCAATTATATCAGAATTACACTACAAGTAAACTTATAAGTATACTTTCAAGGAGAAAAGTATACTCAATTATATCTGAAGTACACTCCCAAGTACACTTGTGAGGTTACTTTAAGTATACTTTCAAAGAGAAAAGTATACTCAATTATATCAGAAGTACACTACAAATAAACTTAAATTATTACTTTGAAGTATACTTGCAGTATACTTCAAGTATACTTTTAGTGGCCCAATTTAGTCCCAAGGAGTATACTTCTAAGTAAACTTTAAGAACAAGTATGCAAATAAACTTCTGTACACTTAAGTATACTTGAAATTATATACTTAAAGTATACTTCTTTTTCGTAAGGGATTACTTGTTGTCAGCATGTTACATTGATTTTTATAAGTGGAAATCAAATTAAACAGGAACAACACAAGCTCACTGATTATGGCATTGAACTGGCTCTTGCAGTTTATAAGTGTGCAGTGAGTGCTTTGCATTGCCCATGTTGGCCAATGTTCTGCTAAGTGTCTTCTTCTCTGTCGCAGTCACCAGTGCAGCTTCCTGTCAGCAAAACCAAGTAGGGGTGCTGCAGCACCCCCTCGTGGATGACAAATGATATGCATGTTGAGTTTCTGCAAGCAAAACTAAATAAAATGACAGTATTTTTTAAATTTAGTTTATTTAACACAACTACAAAAACACGATTATTTAAAAATGTAAATGTTACTTTTTTAGATTTAATTGTATTTTTTTATGTCAGACATACACATTGCTACAGTATCCTATACACACAAATAAGGGCAATTATCCACCTGATTGTCTACTTGCCTATTAATTTGTTATGGGATCAGATATTTATAGCAGGGTTTCTCAACCCTGGTCCTCACCCTGGTCCTGCATGTTTTCAATGTCTCTGCTTTGAGCACACCTGATTTACATATTTGGATAGCCTCCTCAGGAGGACATCAAGTGCTGCAGAAGCCTGTTAATCGGTCTTTAATTTAAGTCAGGTGTGTGGCAGTAGAGAAAGACTAGGGTTTAAAAGGGCAACATGGAAAACATGTAAGACAAGGTGGCGCTGAGGACCAGGGATGAGAAATCCTGACCTGGAGCATGGCTTAATCAGTGCTTTTCAACTCCTGAGTAGACAGCCATGTTGGATATTGGTTTACCAAATGTGGCCGCCGCATTTGTCTAAACCGGTCACGCGACTGAGGTTTCACTACTTTCTCAGTCATTGCTACTATTAAACTTATTGTAAATAAAGCTAAATTTGTGTTATTATGCAGCATTAACTTTCCTTTATCATGAAGAATCAGCACCACCATCAGAACAGCCAGTCTTCTGCAGCTCAGTATGGTGAGATCACAGCTGAGCTACAGAACTGAGCAGCAGCAGCAGGAACCTCTGACTACGTCACACCATCAGTCCTTAAGTGATTAAAGCAGAAGTACTCAATAGGTGGCCTGCGCGCCCGAAGAAAAGAAGCTCACGTTTATAGATGTTCGGCCGTTTCGACTCTCTGAACTTTAGTTTTGTCTGTGTGTTCGTGTTTGGATGTTAATCATGGGATTAGTTGGACAAAATGGCAAGCTGTGGTTCCTGACAGATCATCCAAGCAGTTTCTACTTGTTTTCACTAAGTAAATTTGTATTTCTGTACTTTATTTCGCTGGTTGAATGGGGGGAAATGTTGTGTCATTTAACTGCTTGGTCAAAAATGTTAGTGGGGCTGCATAAGAACCTTGAGCGGGTGCAGCTTCTCCTGTCTCCTGACTGAGAATAGCATGTGGCTGGCTTTTTTCTTATAATAAAATGATAAATGATAAATGACCCGCACTTGTATAGCACCTCTCAGAGTAAGGACTCCAAAGCGCTTTACACTACAGTGTATCATTCATCCATTCACACACTGATGTTGATGAGCTACGATGTAGCCACAGCTGCCCTGGGGCGCACTGACAGAGGCGAGGCTGCCGAGCACAGGTGCCACCGGTCCCTTCGACCACCACCAGCAGGCAAGGTGGGTTAAGTGTCTTGCCCAAGGACACAACAGCAGAATTCGCTGTCCGGAGCCGGGATCGAACCTGCAACCTTCCGATTACTGGACAACCCGCTCAACCTGCTGATCTGCTGCTGCCCCAACACAGTGCAGTAATTAGATGTTTTTTTTTTTACCTTCAGCTGACATGTTTCAACCGGAACTTTCGCCAGAGCCACCAGATCTTCGTGGCGTCACTTCCGTTTATGTTCGGGCAGCAAAGGATGGCATTGTCCTTTGCTGTCCGCATCCTTCAGTGCTGATAGCACAGACTCATATGTGATCCAGCGTGTAAACACCGTTGTCTCTGTTCATGGAGTTGTGTCTGTGTCTCCTTGTCTCTATCGCTTCCTTAATCCATTTTACGGAACAACACTGAACAACAAAAATACAGAAGGTGGATTACGGAAGCGATAGAGACAAGGAGATGTGACTTTGATGTTAAAAAACAGCAGAGAATGTTGTAAAAGTTATTGATGCATACCTGAAAGTATTTGTAATTTCTTTGTAGGAATGAAAAGCTACTAATTTGATGCAAAAAATGACTAAATGTTGACGAGGTTAAATCAGTTTGTATGAATATTTTAATTCTGCAGTTAGAAATGCACCAAAGCAAATGAGAAAAATAACTGTAACTGACTTCTAGTGCAATAAAGTTTGAATCATCATCATCATCATCATCATCATCCCTTTATTTGATTTAAAAAGGCATTTTTCCCTTCCAAACAAACAAGATAGCCTAAAGTGCTGCACACTACATAAAATAAAAACAAATATGAGCATTGACTCACACACCGCACTAGAAGGCAGTGTTGTTTCTGTTTTGTTGAATTGTGAACACAACACACCACCCATCAGAATTAACTTGTTTATTCCTTCAAACTTAATACAGAATAAGTTGAACAAAAAGTTTTAAAAGATCAGTAGAAGTTTTTTTTAAAAGACTTATTTTTTAAGTTATTATTCTTGTTTATGTTTGTATCAAGAAAGGCTTAGAAACCTTTCAATTTTCATTTTTATAGATGAAACGCGTGGTTAAATTTTTCTCTTTGTTGAAATAATGTGACAAAATCACTACATGAGTGTTAAAAGTTTGTTTTTAGAGAGAAATTAGTCTGAAGCAAGACATTTATTGGCATGGCAGTGTTATGAATACAGGATCAGTTCTCAGGTAATCCTGCCAACTCTGAAATAGTCCCACATCTAAGGATCAATATTAAATGTGGTGTGGTTAGCCAGGTATCCTGTTGTTAAGAAATGTATTTAAGCCTCATTAATGACTGAGTTGATCCATTCTTTGTATTCAGGGATCATGGTGTAAAGAGCCAACGGAATTTCATTTGAATATGGTTTCTTAAACAATGTAGAAACGACACCATAGGCCTTCCCATCACAGACCAGCGGACCTCCAGAGTCCCCCTGAAAAGAAACACAGTAAAGCGGCCAGGTGAAATGGGAAGTATGGATGCTGGTAGTTTCTGGTTTGTCACTGTTAAGTTTTAAATACCTGACCCGGTCCTGTCTTGTCCTTTGAGCAGTAGAACTTCATCTTTGAACAGTTATTAACATCATCATTAATCACTGTTACATTGACTTCCTTAAGTATGTTGGTTATATATTGGTTATTCCAGCTTGTCACTCCCCAGCCAGAGACAGAACACGATGATGGCAGAGATCCAGCATCCTGGTCGGCCAGACTGATGGTTTCCACAACTTGGTTGATCTTCACCTTGGAGCTGAACTTTATGGACAGTATAAAAATGTGTGATTTACTGCAGCATCTTTTCTAAATTAATTACCGTAGTACATATTTTCCCAATTCAATTCAATTCAATTCAAGTTTATTTATATAGCGCCAAATTACGACAACAGTCGTCTCAAGGCACTTCACATAATAAACATTCCAATTCACAGTTCATTAAGCCAATCAGAAATAATGTTTCCTATATAAGGAACCCAGCAAATTGCATCAAGTCACTGACTAGTGTCCGTGACTATACAGCAATCCTCATACTAAGCAAGCATGCAGCGACAATGGAGAGGAAAACTCCCTTTTAACAGGAAGAAACCTCCAGAGAATCCTGGCTCAGTATAAGCAGCCATCCTCCACGACTCACTGGGGATCGACCAAACATATATCCAATAGCCAGTGTAGGTCAAGTTACTTCAAAACTGTACTGCATTATTTATTACTTGTTACCCTCATTTTAAAGTAATTGATTACATTACATTACAGTATTACTGATTTCAAAATGTACTGCATTACACTACTTTTGCATTACTTTAAGTAACTTTCACCAAAACAACTTCTACATGAATTTGGTGATCTGATGCTCAGAGAGCTCATGACACATCCAGTGGAAAGTGATGTTATCTGAGTTAGGATTGCTGTTCAAAACAATCAGATATAGTAACAGTTTTTTTAAAATAATTGTTTATTAAATAATTGCAACAACAATCTGTACTCTCAGCGCGCTGCCATCTTATGTTAACTGAGCAGGGAGTGAGGTGGTGGGGGCTCCAAGCCTATTTTTGCCTTGGCCCCCAAATGCCTTGATACGGCCCTGGATGTGGGACTGACTTTTGAGGGTGATCTGATTCCATCACATGTATAAATATTGCATGCTTATATAGTATTGCTTTTCACTGGTAAAATGTGTATTGGAGATAAATCTACCTACTTTTTTCTTTTCAAGCACTTTGTTTTGTTTTCTTGATTTTATTTGAATAATTTCCTGCCCTTTCTCTCTCTAACCTTCCTGCATGCTGCATGTTTTCTCCGTCTTCCAGAAAATCAGTTTCCTAGATTTCTTACTTTCTAACTAATCAGCCAAAGGGATCTACTGAGCGTAAAAAGCTTAATATGCGCTGCGCTTATTGAGGCACAGATTATGAACTCAGCTGAGGCAAAGCACGTCAGAAAAGTACTTAAAGTACCAGAGCATATGGACTGATATGAACGATCGCAAGTGAATTATTTTGTTTTGGAGGGGCGATTTTGTGAATGTTAAAGTGGCCGCACTCAGGACGCAGCTGGAGTATTTGAGCTATTACCTACTGTGTCCTCTCTGCTCATAGATTGCCCGCAGAGACTGGATCTTATTTCGGGCTTCCCACAATTTGAATTTTTAAGAAACCCACATCTTTATTCTGGGTTTAACCCTCTCAGGCTCAAAATAAGTTTTGATAAAAGGACGAACAACTAAGTCCTTCAGGGGTACTTCTGAGTTAAAAAATACTCCTGAAATACTTATGTGGAGTAACCAGGTAGGTAGGTTTCAACGTTGCAGATCTGCAACGCCTTCCTCCATAAGGTTAAAAATGCATTGTAGTTACAGAGTTACTGACAATTGTACCGAGTAAATATTACTATTTTCCTTCCCTGTAATGCCTTACATTACCACATTACAGCAAAAAGGAATGCATTACAGTAATTAACTACTTTTGTACCGCATTACTCCCAACACTGCCAATAGCATCATTTTAAAGTCATGTCCTCTCTTTTATCATTGCACTAATAAATGACAATTAAATAAAAGACTAATGAATAAGGCATCTTCTTACTTTCAGGATCATGATATCGTTGATATAATTAGAGCTGTTGAAATTCTGATGGGGAAATGCTTCTTTTATGGAGGTTTTCTGGACACTTTTATCTGAATCTCTTGTGCTCGTATCGTGGACTCCAACCCAAGCGGTGTACTTCCTGCGAAAACAGTCAAATACTTAACTTTTAAACTGAAGTGCTACATCAAGTTTAGTTTGAATAAAATCCCCATTTCTGTAAAAGGTCCAAATCTGAGCATGTAAAACTGACTCGGCTTGGCAGTGGGCAGCCGTCATCATGAAATCCTCACTCAGTAGGAATCCTCCACAGTACTTTGTTTTACCATCTTCCATGATCCTCTCCAGAAACACCATGTACGGCCTGCTATGTGGCACAGCCTCACAGCCTCCAACAATTCTCCCTGCCTGAACTAATGAAGCAGAGGGAAGCGTTACTACCGTGTTGCTCATCAACAAGGGTTTTGAGTTTTTATTTATGTCAAGACACAGTACAGAAGCAAACATGAGTCTTCCCTTCATTGGACACTAATTTAAATATAGCTCCAAGCTTCAAGGTCAACTCTTTGTCAAATTTAATTTTTTTTACCATTAAGATACATCTATCCATGGATAAAATCTCTTTTTTGGCATTACTCCAAGGAAACATTAAAACTAGCTTTTTGTTGTAAATAAAGCAGCAATGACATGAAAGCATCACCTTACCTTGATTCTGAAGAATCAGCACCACTGCCAGAACAGCCCGTCTGCTGTACCTGAACATGGTGAAATCACAGACCAGCTGAGCTACAGAACTGAGCTGCAGCAGCAGAAATCTCTGGCTACTTCACACGTTCAGCCCTTCCTTAATTTAAAGAGTGCAGTACGCATTTCATTTACTTACACAGAGGAAGTGGCTTTCACGAAACTGTCTGCTTTATCTCTGGAGTCTGACAGAATAATCTGATTGTCAGACACCATTAACTGAAGGATAGATGGGGGTGTAGCTGACAAAACTGTGGTTGTGTTTGTCCACACGTGTGCATGTGCTTGATATGTTACAGGTTAGTAAAAATGTCTTTAAAAACGCCTTAAGTATATCGGTTTGGGAGTTGATCTGCATCTGGCAGAACCTGCTAATGGAACTGAACTTGCGTGATTAGTGCAGAAGTGATTTGTGAAGGGCCGTGTGTACTATACATCTCAAGCAGACGCAAAGATGTGTAAACAGGTTCATGTGCGCATCAAAAATAGAAAAGAATATAATAACTTTATTGTAATTGTTCAAAGAGGACCCAAATTGCAGATGGTCCGTCATCGACATTGCACTGGAAATCAAAAGCCATTAGCTGGTCAGGGTTCTCAGTCATCTAGGGCTTCTTTGGTTTCTTGAAGACGTTTTGCTTATCACCCGAGGAGCATTGTCAATTCTGACTGGAATATGGGAGGGTCAAGCTTATAAACTGTAGCTGTCTATTGTTGTTTAACAAGCAGAAACTACCTATGAATAGCCCTCCTCAGCCTGCTGAGGAGTTGTTAGCCTCCATTGTGAGGGAATTGTTGTATTGATTAGATGCAGGAGGGTGTGACCTCAACTGAAACTGTTTGTGAGTTCGGTTCAGAGATGAATTATAGGTGGTGGAAAGGTGAAACCTGAGGCCTCCTCTTCTTCAGAGACTTGACCTGAAGAGGTGGCTCTCCTGTGGTCTTCAGGTCAAGACTCTGAAGATCACCTGTACCTGAAGGACAAGGAACCAGTTGCCACCCTCAGTTAGGCTGTCCCCATCTCTGCCAGTCTTTAAGAGTTGCCTGAAAACCCACCTCCTCCACTTGGCGTTCCCTGAACGTGTTTGAATTTGGCCCTCATGTTGATTTTATTTCCCTGTTTTCATTGACAAGGGAAACATGTTTGAAGATGACAAAGTACACATTCTGGACAGAGAAGATAGATGGTACTTGTAACTCTGCTGTTAGAGTCTTTAAACTTCGAACAGCACATTTCAGGCCCCACACAGAAAACGGGCCTTGTTTTGGATCTTGAACAGTTATTGGACAAATGAAAAAAAATTACAGTTTCAGAGGAACATGCAGCAGAGCTGAGAGGCATAGGATGTCAACTAGATTAGAAGTTCATAGGCTGCACTTGAAAGAACTTGCAACATATTTGAAAGAGATGGTGAAAATCTCAAAGGCAGCATACTTTCCTCAGCTGATTTTCTCAAACAAAAATAAGTCTAAAGTTTTGTTTGACAGCATAAACCAGATGTTTCAACTCGCATGCTTGTATTCTCAAGGTCTGGCTCTATTTGAGAATAAAAGAAAAAAGAAAAGAAAGAAAATGATAGTTTATTTAGCACCTCTTGGGGCAGCAGTAGCTCAGGTGGTAGAGCTGGTTGCCTCATTATCGGTGGGTCATGGGTTTGATTCCAGCTCCCGCTAGTGGTATTCTGCTGTTGTGTCCTTGGGCAAGACACTTCATCCAACATGCCTGTGTTGGTGGTGGTCAGAGGGGCCGACGGCACCAAATGGCAGCCTCACCTCTGTCAGACCTCCCCAGGGCGGCTGGGGCTACAAAGTAGCTTACCATCACTAGCAGTGTGTGAATGTGAGAGCATGAACGCATCTTTGAGTGTCCTAAACAAACGCTATTTAAGTTTGTTTATTATTATTATTATTATTGTTGTTGTTGTTGTTATTGTTATTATCATTAAGATAAAAATCATGAGGCACTTCTAAAAACAAATAAATATATTAGGTATAAAAAGATTTCAACAATGATTACAAATATATTTAAAATGAGAAAAAATTTCAATTGTGATTAAAAATGCAAGCAAAGGGAAAGGGAAAATTCATAAGAAAGAGGGAAACCAGTGGATCCCGGGAAAGGCATCAACAAGGCCTGTTCGCCCACAGAACAGTCGCTCACTGGTGTAAGAAATTGGGGGTTACTATTGTTGTTTTAAGCTTAATAAATTACCTCTACTTATGACCAATAAGCTGTGAAATTCTATATAAATATAGAATATCAACCTTATTAGTCTTTGAATGTTTAATCAGAAGATTCTAGGATTCTTTGCTTTTCAGTGATCAAACACACTTCGTACTTCAGACTGAGTCAGGTTTATAAAAGGTAAGAAATTTATTTTCTAAACAATTTAAAACATGACGAGTTAAATAAGACGACTGTGAAGGATGCATATAAATGGATGGAATGTGATATATGGTTTATTGAATAGTGTGTGTTTATCAGAACCTTGTATCTAGAAGATACTGAGTCCTGGGTGTGAAAAAAAATTGGTCTGCATTGAACTAGAAAGTTTATTCTTATCAAAATCACATCAGACGCAATTCTTGCTGTGTCTACCGCACCCTTTTTGGAGACCCTCTTCGTGGATTCAGAGGTCAGGAAGGTCGGATGACCTCTGGGCACCGAGGTTCAGTAGATTAACCGCAGCACCGACGCTCCAGTCCAGAGATGTCACCAGGCACAACAGGTTGGAACTAGTTTGCGTCTAGAGCAGCTGTTTCTGAATAGCTGAAGGAACACATTGCTGTGCCACTGCAGGCAGCTTTTAGCTTGTCGAAAGCTTGTCAAGAGATGCGGTGGTTAGAGAGAGTTTCCAGTCCGGAGTTCTGCTCAAAACTAACTGAATGCCGAATCACTCCGCAAGTGATCCTGTTTTATCATATTATGGCCAATCGGGACATGCCATATTAAGAGGTGTTATAAACAAACCTCAGAACATCACGCCTTCTTTTAGACAGAAGGTTCTCTGATTTGTGGGTAAGAACATCTCAATGTGCATGAAATTACTTTAACTTTATCTTATGAACATTGTGTATGAGTGTAGATAATGATGCACTTGTTAAACAAACATTACTGATCATAACATCAAAATGTTTCATTGTAATAGTAAAATTCATTTCAACCTTATTAACTTAGGCACAGATTAATCAAAACATTTCATTTAACCATATTGTTCATTTCATTTCATGATTAATTAACTCATATGAGCTGAAAATGTTCACTTTTATTCAGAGGCATGAGGAATCCTGTAGAAGCAATAAGGGAAGCTTAGGCCTTGAAACGGGAACAGTTTATTGACATATGTTATCATGTGTTCAGAGCTGCAGAGAAGTCCGGACTCCAGCTGATGGAATGGCAGGATTTGGCAGATTAAAGGCAACAAATGTAGACTCCTGTCTCCATTTGACCAGATACTGAAGAGGTCAAACTGTACATGAAAAACTGACCATTTCTGGACGCTACACTGGATGATTTCCCCTTTTAAGACCATTCTCTGTAAACTCTAGAGATGGTTGTGTGTGACAATCCCAGCAGATCAGCAGTTTCATAAATACTCAGACCAGCCCGTCTGGCACCAACAACCATACCGCATTCAGTCACTTAAATCACCTTTCTTCCCCATTCTGAAGCTCAGTTTGAACCGCAGCGGTACGTCTCGACCATGTCAATATGCCTAAATGCATTGAGTTGCCACCATGTAATTGGCTGATTAGTAATTTGCGTTAAAAGCAGTTGGACAAGTGTACCCAATCAAGTGGCCAGTAAGTGTAAATTATATTTGTAAACTACCATAAATGTGGACTGATGCAACGTTTGGGAAAACGCGTTGGCCTCTTCTCTTAATTTGTGAAATAACCTCCCTGAAAACTACAGAGTCCGTCACACAAACATTTTTAAGAGATCGTCTCACTACTGCTGCTCGCATGCAGCACTTTTTTTTATTGATCTGTGTACCTGAAGATTTATAAAGTCAAGGAAAGCTAAATTCCTAATATAGTAACATTTGTGCAGCAGTGACAACATCATGATGTTTTGCTTTAAGCAATAGTTTATGAAAGTAGTCAGACGAACAGCTGGGCAAATGCTCCATGTTCTCACTGCCCTAAACGTCAAACAACGTATCTTAAAGCAACAGTAACACTCCTAAAACTTTCTGATAATGTTCTAAACAATTCTGTTGGTTTACTATATTTTTCTGGGATGAGTGACAGTCTATGCATTACATACGTTAATAATTCAGCTGCAAAGTGTGTTGAAGCGGTCTTCTGCTGATCGGACCTATAGGGGTGAATGTTTACATGCAGGGCCAGTGAGGAACAAGGAAGATGTGATCAGGTCGCAGAACTGGAGACCCCCAGATTCGCTGCTGCAGGCGTGAATCTGCGGGTCTGCAGCTTCTTGATGTGAGAGCGGGACTTCCCATGTAATGACGTCAGATCATTCATTCGATCATTAATTCCCAAATGTGTCTAAACTCAGCTTCAGCACTTCCTTGTCTGGGTCTGACCCAAGTTAGTAAATGTAAGTCCTCCATCAGATTTGTTGCCTGTTCTAGTGTCATTTATAAGGATTTTTATTGATAGATAATATATGATTTTACTAGAATATGGGTTATAGAAATGCTAATAAAAACACCCAATTATACATAAAAGTGAAACTGAAAAAATCAGAATATGGTGCAAAAGTCCATTTATTTCAGCTTTCAACTAGACCAGGGATTCCCAAAGTGTGGTGCGCGCACCCCCAGGGGTGCGCGAGCTGCCGCTAGGGGGTGCGCGAGGTGAAAAGTGTAATGGCTACGGAGCTCAGAGAAGTCTGTCATATGTCACCATTAGCGTAGCCAGAAACTCATTTGTGGGTAGGCCTAAGAAAAAGTAAGTGGACACAATAAACGTAATTGAAAACAAGTATATTTTTGCGCGCGTGTCCTCCACATGTGCCCTAGCTTCATAATAATGTGCCGAGCTTCAGCACTCTGGCCTGCGCACGCTGATATGTTCCGTATTTGATCATTTTTAACGATGTTGGAGGAATTTGAAGGTGAGTCATTCTGGCAGATTGTAATTAACATCCTGTCCCATGCAGGTGTTCTGACGTTGTAAACCTCACACAC